AGCTGTTTCTTAGTAAGTGTCGCAAGAAAATGAACTTTATTCCAAATCGAGTTATGAACCCCCTTTTTTTTTACGCATGTTGATGTTATTGATCAACCTGATTTTTTAAAAAAAAAAATTGTATTGGCTTCGAATTCGGTTTTTTAAGATAACCTAAGTTACTTGCCTAGTTGGAATGGCTATTGTCTTGATACCGTCCCGGTTCGGCTGCAGCCAAGTTAGAAATGCACACTGCTAGGCAAATATACATAAATATCGTAGTGTAAGTTTCAATCAAGGTCAAAGTTCATTATCAACAACCAACTAGCCAGCAAAACACAAATTTCAAAATTAAGACGGGGACAGCCTCATCGTGCCCAGAAATTCAATTCGACAGAAATAAGCGGAAGTGAAAAAAAAAAGAAGAATAAAAACCCATTGAACGGTCCAAACCCACACACGCTATATGCAATTTAGAACAGGGTATTTAGAGAAGAGGAAAAAAAAGAAACACCCCCCAGAAGAAAGCCAAACAAACACCAGAAATAAAAAGGGAGAAAGAAAGGCCCAAACACCATAGAGATAAACAGGGAAACAAATCTCAAAAAACCCTACCGTGCCGCCGCAGTCCGTAGCTGAGAGACCTGATAGGAATGGAATGATATGAATGAAAGCAAATCTCACCTGGTAACTCCAATTGAAGCCAGAGCAGAATAACAAGAACAAGACAAGAACATCACCTATCAATCTGCTCCGCCACCCCACTCTTCTGCTTCTTTTTGTTCTTCTTCTTCAAAACCCCCAACTCCTCCAACCGCCTCCACACCTCATCCTTCCTCACATACCCACTTTTCCCCTTCTCACGACCGTCACTACTGCTACCACCAGCACCCTCATCCCCAACATCAGCCACGCTCCCCCCTGCACAGCCATTCACAATAGGAAGCCCATTCAACACCCTCAATCTCCCCGCCGCCGCCGCCAGGACCATAAGTTCCACAACTCTTCTCCGCAACCTTGTCGCCTCATCTAGGTGCACGACATACTTGCGATCCGCAATGACATTTGCCGGAGGCACGGTGTAGTGGTCGTCGATCTCAATCTCAACCCCAGCCCCAGCTTCAGCTTCATCCTGATTATGAACCTCATCGCCGAACCCCTTCCGCGCGATATCCGTACAACCACCTAAAGTTGGGAAGCCCGTATCATCTTCATCCCTATCATCCCTTTCACGGACCTGCAACTGCCTCTCGTCTCTACCGTGCCCAAGCCCCTGACGATTTTTAAACCTCCGTCTCCCCACGTCCCCATCCCCAACAAGCGCCCCTTTCTCATCCCTCCACACCCTCCCACTCCCCGTAACAGGCGCCGGATAGAACCCCACCGTAATCGGATTCCCTCGTAAATCTACATCACCCAGCGCGCCGCAGCGGCCACCAACGGATCTCAGAACCTGACAGAGCTTCCGAAGTCGCGCGATGCGATTCCCGACTAACAATACGCGACCAAGCCGCGTCAGCCCGTGCAACTCAGATATATCGGAAAGCGCATTAAAGTTAAGATTCAAGACGCGAAGGTTTGGGAAACTTGTGCCAAAGGTACTGGGTAGGCTTTCTAGGGCACATGAGGCAATGTCGAGGTACTGTAGGCTGGGGACGCTAGCAGATGGGGCGAGGAGGGCTGACGAGAGGTGGTTGGACGATAGGTATAGTTTCCGGAGGGACGCGGCTGCACTGAGTTGGAGGTAGATAAGGGGAAGTTGGTCGTTCTCAGATTGCTGAGGAGAAGATGGCAGTGTTTGTTCACGAAGGGATAAACAATCCAGATAATGGCATTGATCGAGACCGCTGATCGTGGAGAGGTGATTCCTGTCTGCATAGAGGAGGTGGAGGTTAGGAAATTTCCCGATATTTAGCTTCTCTATGTTATTGTTCGATAGGGTGAGCGAATGTAGGCAATGAAGGACTTCCAACGATTCGAAATGCCGAATACGATTGCCTCGAAGGTCTAACTTTTCGATAGTTTTGATGAATCCAATGTTGCGTACACTCGTGAGGAGATTGTCACGCAAGTCCAGCTTTATCAACCGCGTCCTTAATTTTAAATTTCCATTAACAATCCACATCATTTCTGCAATATTTAGACTGGGAAATAAAAAATAAACTTACAACTCCGCTTCGCCAAAGTCAATCTCACCAATCAAATTCCCCCTCACTTTCAACGTCAACAAGCCATTTAACCCCATAATGCCACGAATATTCCGAATGCGATTCCCATCAGCCTTCAAACTCCTCAGATGAACAAGGCCCGAAAACGCATCAAGATCCTCCAACTTATTTCCTGACACATCCAAGTACTGAAGATTAGACAGATGGCCCCACGCCGTTAAGTTGGACAAGTAGTTGCGCGGGACCCTCAACGTGCGAATACTTGAGGGGACGCCGCTAACCTGGCCAACATTGTTGTCAGATGCATCAAGCTCCTCGAGTCGCGAGCAGAATTCGTTCAGTCTGTGTAGCGTTATCAGACCTTTCCCGCGAAGGTTCAGCTGACGGAGATGTTCCCAATATGGTTCGTACGGCTCTGTGTCAGTGATGTGCTTAATCAAATCTTGGGTCGCCAGAGTATATGTCCCGTGGACCTGCCTGAGAGAGGTCGGATGAGTCCTTTCAGCAACGTAACTAACATCAAGCCGCATAGACTCATCGATTTGATGAAGCGTAAAATCCGACAGCGACGCAAGCTGGAAGCTGTAACTGGTATCCATGTTTGGGCTCCCTTGTAAAATCATTGAGCGGTCCTCATGTCCTAGAGCCTCGATAACAGAAAGGCCATGATGTTGGGTGTGAGGGTCATCGTTGGCCGAAACTTCAGTTTGCTCATCGATCCGGGAGATACGCCTTCCCCTGAAAGTCCGACTACCGAATGAACTATTCTGGCGCGAAGAGTTCCGGAACGGCGAGCTTTGGTTGTAAGGGCGCGGTAATACACCCGGATGGTTCTGGGAATCCCTGAAGTGACTAGATCCGTAGCGGTCATGCTGCACAGTAGATGGTAACGCGTGTTCCGGGTCGACTGGACTCAGCGAGTCCTCCCGGTACGCCACATGAGATACCAAAGGGGATGAGAACGAAATGGTAGCTACCCTACCACGTCTTTCGCCGGGGGGAGGCTGTCCATTACCACCCTTCTGACAATTTCCCAAATCATTAGTCTCAGCAGGCTGAGGAATACCTACTAACTCCTCACTACCCCAAGACGTAGCCCTGGTTTCTGGATTGGGACAACTCGACGTAAACCGCGTAGATTTCGATTGCACGGAACTCGTTTCAAAACGTCCGCCGTCTCGGGTATTTGGTCGGAAATCAGTAATATGCTGGCGATTTTCCGCGTCGGTCTCCTCATCCTGTTGCCGTGGCGGCCGCTGGTTACACTCTTTTTGACCATCGTGCCGGCCTTCACCGAAAGCACCAGTCATCGAAGAAAATTTCCCCTTCGCCGTCGCCGGCGATGAAAATGTCTGCGTAGCCATGAGCTCTTGCAACTCGTCAACACTAAGGTCGGGAATATCCTTGAAGGGGTCTTCTTCGCTTATAATGACGTCTTCTTCCACCGCCTTCGACGCTGGAGGTCTTTCCTCGGCATGCATCATCCCGTCTCTACCCTTCACCCATGCATGCGCTGAGCGGTCATAAGTCATCGCACCAACCTGCTCGGGGATCAAGTGAGCTATCATATCCGAGGATATAATACCCTTAGCCCCGGAGCCGCTCGAGGAGCCCCGGGAAGATCCTGTGGGTAATGAGCTTCTAGTCGACCTGAGTGACGATATTTCCCGTTGGGAGGAGGGGCCGCTATGACCATTAGAACCGTTGGATAAATTCGATGATGAGCTGGTTGCCCTCTTCCCTGAGGTTGACCGCCCACGAATACGTATGTTCTTTGGGCTGCTTTCCACACCATCGCTCTCACCCTCCTGCCGATGAATGGCATAAGTAGCCACATTCTGTTCCCGATCAAGGCGCAAAGACATCACCGATCCCCCCATATAAAGCTCAAAGTCGTCTTTGTCCTCAAACTTCTTTAAATGGCTCACTATACGCGGATGTTGCGTGCGTGGTTCGTGTAATCTGCGAAGATCAACGGTCCCCTCGCGGCTTGGTGGTCTTGAAAATGCTTCCTGTGTCGACTCCTCTTCCTCCTCTTCAGCATCATCATAGGAGTAGTCTACATCACTTGCAGCATCACTCAAATGGTTAGTCTCTTCAACGCTCGATAAACCATGATTATGCTTGCCGCCTCCTCTGGCACGTATTATGTCCATTATCTTAGTGGCTTCGTTCAAAAAATCTTGTGTGGTAATTGATCCTTTCCTACTATCGTCGAAGACATGGCTCGGTGTTGCGATAAAGGAGAGCTTCTGTTCGGGTTCATTCTGTTCGTATTGGACGGCATTGAGGGAAGCTGATGGTTTGCTAGCATGTTTGGTTTGAATTTTTTCTTTGTTTCCAAGCTGAGACCTTATCTGCGAGGGAGTTGGTGTCCGGGGACGTGGTGGGAGTTCTGAGTCACCATTGTCGCCTGCTCGCAGCTGACCTTCATTTTGATAGTTTTGAATGTTATAGCTGGCAGAAAATTGAGTAGATTCAAGAAGAGATGACGCCAGAATCTGATTATTAGGATCGATATTCTGTAGTGTCCTCCTTCTTTTTCGACAAGGATCTTTCGTCGGACTGTTAAAAACCCTCTTCGTCTCGCTCTGCCTAAACGGATTTGATTCACAATTTTCGTTTACAACTGCTGCATCGTCGGCATTGGTTCTCAACTTCGTCCTAACTGCTGCAGCTGGAAACGCATTAGCCGGAGAGGAGGCGAATGGATCATTTTCCCATCTCGCTGATTGAATTGGGCTTTGCTTTCCAGCCTCCCTTCTTCGAGATGGACGACCTGATGGGCTTTTCCCATCCTCGTTCGTAATTACCAGAGAAGGGGCAGGGAGCAGACTGAGACCCTCGACTCGT